TGGAGAAAGCCTTAAAAAGCCCTCGTCTATCGCTGTTTACGTTATGTGATTGAGGGGAGAATTTGCCAAGACCAAAGGTTACTGCTGGTGTTTCTGTGACGAATATTACCTCAAACTAAAGCAATTAGCTTCAAGGAACCCGAGTGTCTGTGGGAGGGTTTCCAAGGGCGAGCCCGGTACCGCGCCTGATGGCCCGCGTTGCCCGGCTCTGCCCAGGCGGGCGCACGGCTGCCTCCCCCCACACGACTTCCCTGCGAGCTGAGGCCACCTGGCCACGCCGGCCTCCGTTCCCCCTTCTGTGGAATGGGGAAGGGCCGAGGCTGGACCGGACATTCCAGAGCTCCTCGTGGCCCGGTGTGCTTTATTTCCATCGGCTTTTGCTCCCTGAGCATATATGCCTTTGGCTCTTCTCCCCGAAGCTGTTTCTGCTCACGGTTTGGCTGACCAAATCTTTTCTTGAGACAATTATGGAAATTGCCCGAATGGTAATTAGTAAACGTTCTCTTTTCTTCCAAGGAGGGCAGACTTAAGAAATCTGCTCATGAGCCCCTCTCCTCCCTGGCTTCCAAGGCTGGGAGACAGGGCCTTGTGCACCTTCAAACCAGACCAGGCGTGCCCCAGTTTCCCCATTGGTAAGCAGGGTGATGACGGTACCTACATCATGGGGGGCTGTGAGGAGGGTGCCAAGAATGTATGACAGTTTATTCAGGTGAACATTCAGGTGAACTTACCTAGCAGGTGGCACTAGGTAAGTGCTGTACCCAGGCTGCCAGGCCCCCCCAGCGCCGGGCCACATCGCTAGCTCAGCCATCAGACTTCCCAGGATTTGAGAATCTAGAGAGATCACCCAGTCGACTGAGAGAACCCAGAGAACTCGCTCTGCTCCCAGGCCCTCACCTCCTGCCATCTGTTCCCCGCCTGCTGTCCTAGGTACTTTGCAGACCAACCAGCTGAAGCCCAAAAGGTGTCACTGCGACACCCCTGTTACAGCTCGTCAGGCCCAACGCGGGCTGGAGATACCAGCCCCGTGCCCCCCCCCCCCCCGGGCGAGCCAAGAGCTGCACTGACCTTAAATGCACAGACCACAGCCAGGTGGCCTGGGCCCTGCTCTGCCCCATACTTTCTGATGGCACCGAGCAGGTCTTTTGCTCTTTGGGTTCCTCATTAGAAAATAGGACTAATATTGCCCCTCCCTCACAGGGTTACCGCAAGGACGTGGTGGATTCTGCAGCAGCGCACCCTGACGCGGGCACGGAGCAGACTGCACAGCAAGGCCTGTGAGCATTCGTTACGCCCCAGGGGCTGTGGGGAGCAGGACATACATGGAGGACAAAGCCACCAGGGGGTGCATGCTGGTGGGGAAAACCTACCCAAAGGAGAGGCACTATCACTGCAGGATCTGGAAATAGCCTTAGAGACTAGGGTCCAGGCCACTCCGCTGGATGTGGGAAGGGGTCCAACTACCTGCCCTCCTCCCTCCAGGAGGGGCTCATGGGCTCTTCCCTGCAGAGGCCCAGGTCAGCCTCCCAGCCATAGTCCTTATTTTTTAAATGGTTTCTGGGCTGATTTCAGCTTGGGGCTGCAGTTTGCCCTAAGGAACAGGCAAGACAGTCCTCAGGTGGCACAATGGGCCAAGTCATAATCTGGAGCAGGGGACAGAGGCCACTCGGGGAGAGGGGTTCCTGACAAGTCTCCGTCTCCAAAGGGCCACTGTTCTGACCATTGTGGCCTCAGCTGCTGCAGACGCGCCCTCTGCATCTGTCACATGAACAAGGCTGCCCTACGGAGTTGTAGAGGGAGGGTAGGGCAACACGCCAGGACAGCCAGGCTCGGCAGGGCAGCAGGTGACACTGTGGGTCCAGAGCAAGAGGGCGACATCGTGGATCCCCCAATCCACAGCCTGTTGTTTCTTCCTCCCCTGTTATCACCCCATTTTATTGACAAGGAAACTGAGGCTAGGGGGATGGAACCATGCACTCAAGACTCAAATAGACATTTGCCAAGTGGCTGAGTGGAGGTGGCCTTGTCTTCCTGACCTGGAGTGCCAGCACCATGCGTGGAGCCAAGCCGGAACCTTCTGGGCATCTCAAGCTCTGTCAGTCCCAATCAGGTGCACGGCTGGCTCCTGTCGGCAAGCCCCAAACATTTCTGGGACATTTTCTGACCTGTGGTGGCAGCACCCAGGGCCCAGCCCCCAGGCCACAGGCTCCTGAGAGGCCTTGGCAGCCCCAGACCTGCCCGTGGGACCGCCCAGTGCTGGCCAGCCTGTCCCCACCTCGGGCCCTTGGCTCCTTCCGCTGCCTCCCCACTGGCTGCTCCTGTCCCCCACCCCAGGCCTCTGCTTCCACCCGCCCCTAGACCCTGCCACACGCATGGGGCGGCACACAGCTGAGGCGTCCTCCCCACCTGAGTCCCCTCGCTCGCTCGGCCCCAGGGGCCCGACCTGGCCCTGCCAGGCCTCAGGCCTGCGTTCAGCTCTGCGGGGGCCTCTTCACCGCCCCGCCTTCTGCTAGGCTGAGGCTGACTCAAGCCATTGTGGCCCCAGGGCCACACTTGTCCCCTGGGCGTGCTGGCAGCAGGCCTGGCCCGCTGCACCGTCCCCTGCTGCCCCTGGGCGCCCGAGGGCGGCGCTGGGTGAGCAGAGCAGCCCCAGCACTGCCGGGAGGCAGGCGGCCGGAGGGCCCACTCTGCTGCTCAGCACCCCGGCCCTCTCAGTCAGAGACTCCGGCCCGGTAACCCGAGGGCGCCCGAGGACCGACAACCAGTCACGACTCCACTCCCCCCAGACGAAGGCAGCTAATTCCTCAAGGTCGCCTGCTCACCTCAGCATAAAGCGTCCATTCTTCCTCGGCTTGGGGCTGGGGTGGGAAAATATTTTCCAAAGGTCAGTTTTCCAATTATACTTAAAATGTGAAAGTTCACTTTTTTTTTTTTTTTTGCCTTCCTTCGGTGCAGCGGTGTTCTGCTAATTTCATAAAGATACCATTTAGCTGAGGTAGGTGGGATTCTGGGCATCAGAACAGCTTCCCAACGTCAACAGCCAGCCTAACCGTAACTACCGACTTCCCATCATTTGTGGGAGAAAAAACGTTTCTCTCCCCAAAAATTATGGCCTGTAGGAACCAGACAACATCCTCATTGCCTGGCGGGAAATTACAGAGATTTTCTTATGTACTTAACATTAAGCCCAAGTTTATAAAGTCTACTTGGCTTTAATGACTTGCTCATGGGCCGCCCTGGCCGCTGGGGACGGGGGCTGTTCAAGGCCATTGCTTTGGTGTGGGGTGATGTGCCTGAGTCCCCAAGTCATGGGGGACAGCCCTGGGGCTGGGCTGGCTCCACAGACAGCACGCAGCTCCGAGAGCACGCGGGGGCTGGGTGCCCGGCCCTGGGGGAGGCCCCGAGGGTCCCCGCCCTCCTCCAGCAGCCCCCCAGGGGCCGGGGTCTGAGTCCCAGAGGGGGCATGGCAGGCCAGAGAGAACTGTCCCTCTGAGGGCCTCTTCCCTGCCTCTCTAAGATGGGACGCAAAGCACAGCTGCCTGAGTCGCCGTGAGGGTGCCTTGCGGGGTGTGCTGGCGCCGGCTGGCGAGGGCCAGTCGGATGAGGGCCGGGGGCCAGCCCGACCGGGCAGGGAGGGCAGGCTTTTCTTGGGTTGGGGAGGGCGGGATGGAGCCCCTGCCCCCTGGGGCTCTCCCCCCTCTCTGCCACGGGCCCTCCAGGAGTGGACCAGGCAGAGGTGGTCCAGTCAAGGCCCTGTGGGGTGCCCGCACGGCCACGCTGAGCTGGGGAGGAGGAGCGGCAGCTGGCAGGAGTCAGAAGCGGAGCCCTTTCAGGGGACAGGCAGGAGTCCACGCCTGGAGGACACGGTGCGGGCCAGTGAGGGCCTCTGCCCTGTGGGGCTGGGCAAGGCTAGGCGCAGGTGCAGGGGAGGCGCAGGACGGGCACTTCCCGTAGGGAGCCCGGCAGGGGCGTGACTGCGAATGCCAAGCCTGGTGCACAGGCCTCACCCCAGCTACAGGGCAGGGGCAGGGGCAGGGGAGACTCTTGCCCAGGGTGCAGGGCCAGACATGCCAGCAACACCAGTGTTTAGAAGCTGGGAATCTGGCTTTTGATGTAAAGTACCCAAGTCTTTCAAGTTTAACACCTATTTCATATTTTTAAAAACTAGGCACATCAGACCACACAGGGCTTTGGGCCCCTTCTGTTCCCTCACTTCCTGTCCTTCTCCCAGTCCCCATTCCCCAGCCACCTCTTCTGTTTCCCTGTTGTTGCCTCAGGGCCTTTGCACTTGCTGTTTCCTCTTCGGAGGAAGAGGAACCAACGACTCAGTAGTTGCATGGCTGACTGCTTCTCCTCTCAGAGGCCCTGGCCATCCTCACTCCAGTTCCCTGCCCCATCTTGTTTTCTTCCCACCCCTGAATCCAACCTGACGTAATATTAGCTGAAGTACTTATTGGCTCATCTGGTTATTGTCTGTTTCCCCGACAGGACAATCAGGTCCTGAAGGCAGAAACTTATCTAATTTGTTCACTGCATTACCCTCAGGGCCTGAGGAGTAAGTGCTTGGTACATAGTAGGAGCTTAATAAAAACCTAGTGAATGAATAAATGAATGAGTGCATGACCTTCCACCACCTGACCCCATGGCTGGCAGCACCCCCTCCCCTCACCAGTCCCCACTGCCCCCAGGACCCTAGGCATCTCCATCTCTGGATCCTGAGTTGAGCCCTGCAGAAAAGGTCCCTGCCCCAGACAGAGGAAGGGGCCAAGCTGGGGCGACACTGCTGGAAGCCCCTCCTGCCCCATCCTGGCTTGTTGTGGTTGCAGGACTGTTCCCTTCGGAAGTGACGTCTGCTCAGCTGTCCGCAAGTGGAACGGGCCTTAGCGCTCTGGGGCGCGGGTGGAGGAGGTTGGTCTGCAGGTCTGGGCACCGGTGAGAGGGCTTCAGTGGGGTGGTGGGGTCACTGGGGCTGTGGGCACAGTGAGGAGTTGGGATTTTATTCCAGGGAGCCACTGGAGGGTCTGTGTCAGACCCTGGGGCCGGGGGACAGAGGAAAATCTGATGGACAAGACCAGTGTCCTCAAAGAGCTTCCAAGCGGTAAAGGTGTGCAAGTGGAACAGACACGTCCCTTGGTGGCAAGGGCTGTGGATGCACAAATACAAATGCAGGAGCCACGGACCTGTCTTCACAGAGCTGAGACTCTAGAGAGGGAGACACAGAGACAAAGAGAATGAACATTAGTTAATTCCTTCATTCATATGTCCATCCTCCTATCATCCACCCATCCGCCCATTACCCGTCCACTCCCCCAGCATCCATCACTCGTCTGCCCACGCCCCGCCCGCCATGCGCCGATCAGCTCTCCTGCCTGTCGTGCCAGCGCTCCCAGCTGAGCATTTGGACATGGGAAGACACTGGGCCCTCTTCTCAAGGGGCTCATAGTCGAAAGAAAGACTGATAGGTAATCTCACAGTTCCCTTTTAGCAGGATTTCTGTGATGATCATGAGAAGGAAGGCCAAGGGTGGTTAAGAAAAGTGACTCCTTTTGCCTGGCCTATGCAGGAAGGCAGAATGGAGCACAGGAGTGGGGTTTTGAAGAATGAATAGGAGTTTATCAGATGAACACTGGAGGGAAGATTTTCTGTTTGGTGAAACTCACTGTGCAAGCCCAGCAAGGCAGGAAACATCCAGAATTATTCACACAAGGTGTTCAGATTCAGAAGGGCAGCAGCAGAGACACGTGAGACCGGTGGAGGGAGACAGCACTGGAGACAAAGTGGGACGCGTTTTGAAGAACGCTGAGTCCTGGGTGAGGAGCTGGGACCTTGCCCTGCTGGGGTGGGGAGCGGGTGGTGCTGTTGCTGCAGGGCCAGGGCACGCGCAGGCTTGTGCTTCACGAGGGTCATCCTGGGGAGGGCCAAGCAGAGGACGAATAAACGCGGAGAGAAGAGAAAAGACAAAGCAATATAAAGTTATGCTTCGCAAGCACGTCCATAAACAACTTCTCATTGCATCCTCAAGGAACACACTCTCCTGTTCTGTGACAGAAAACTGAGTGTGGCAGGAGCGAGGCCCCAGGCGGCAGAGCAGCAGGAGCGCCACTGGGACCTGGCGCCGGTTCTCGGAGCCCAGACCTGCCCGCCGCTGTGACTGCCTCGCCTCCTTCGGGCCTCGGCTCCATGGGCCTCCTGGCCGCCTGGCCAGCCCCCTGTGCTCGCTCTCCCAAGAGGGGAATGTCGGTGGGAGAAAGGCAGAGGTCCAGGCTCAGGACCGCAGTGTCCGTCTCTCCAGATGAAGGAAGGGCCATGGAGCTCCTGCACGGCGGCCTGGACGCCGCCAGCGCTTCCGAGGAGCGATTTCACCCGGTTCTCCAAGTGCCCTACAAGGGAGGGATTAGCCTCTTTATTTTGCCTATGAGAAATTGGAGGTCAGAAAGATTAAATGGTTTACTCGAGGTCACAGAACTAGTAAGTGGCTGAGCCCACAGGAAAACCAAGGGCTTTCAGACCCGGGCCTGGTGACAGAGGCGGGAGCGGGGCGGGCCGCTCGGCGCAGAGCAAGCGGAGGCTGGCGGCCGAGCAGGCCAGTCGAGCGCTGCCTACACTGGGGTTTTTACACCAGCATTAAAGAAAACTAATGTGAAAAAACACACAGGTGAAAAATAAAAATATGAAAATTAAACAATAGAGAGGGAGTCTTGACTTCTAGCTGTGGTCATGATGGACACTGCGTCTCAGATTTATCCATCCCCGTCAGCAGCTACACAGCTAGACATATGTGGAGCAACTGCTTTCAAGCACTGAGCATCAGATGAGCAGATCTGTGATTCTCAGGAGCGGGGACACACGCACGGCAAGCCCCACCTTTGCTCTGGCCTTACACCCGGGAGCATTTTCAAAGCAGCGGCACAAGGATGTAAACCTACGCAGGGAGTTCCATGGGCAGAGGAGACAGACTGGAGTTCAGGACTGCTGAAGTCATGAGTCTGCAGGGCAGGACACTGGAAAGGAGGAAGCGATGCAGAGAAGTTCTAGAATTCTGCTCAGGGGAACTTTTAGACTTTAGCAAAATATTAAGCTGCAAACGTATAGGGTGAGATCCTACACGGTTTAGCAGAGAACCACTGCTGGGTGGTTGAGAGGTGAATGGAGATACTAGAGGTTGTACAATTCTCAGAGACATTGGACTTCTGCCCAGCCAGTGTCGTGGGCTACTCGAGACTCACCCTAAAAAGCCTAAAAACAAGCACCAATTGGATCACGTTCATCTTCCAGTAAACTGCCCATCAGAAAAACAGTCAACACTCTTTAAAGAAAAACAACATCCAGGCTCTCAACAGCATAGCATCCACGATGTTTAAAATACAACAAAAGGCCAGGCATGGTGGCTTGCACCTGTTATCCTAGCACTTTGGGAGGCTGAGGCAAGAGGATCATTTGAGGCCAGGAGTGTGAGACCAGCCTGAGAAACATAGCAAGATTCTGTCTCTACAAAAAGTTTTTTAAAAGGTTAGCTGGGTGTGGCAGCTATTCCAGAGGCTGAGGCAGGAGGATCACTTGAGCCCAAGAGTTTGAGGCTGCAGTGAGCTATGATGTTGCCACTGCACTGTAGCCGAAGCAACAGAGAAAGACTCTGTCTCAAAAATAAATAAATAAAATAAAAAATTAGTAGACACACAAAAAAGCAAGGAAAAGGGAATCTACAACCAGGAAAAAAATAAACAAATAAAAAATAGAAATGGGTTGGGCGCGGTGGCTCACACCTGTAATTCTAGCACTCTAGGAGGCTGAGGCGGCAGATCATTTGAGCTCAGGAGCTGGAGACCAGCCTGAGCAAGAGTTAGACCCTGTCTCTACTAAAAATATAAAGAAATTAGCTGGACAACCAAAAATATATAGAAAAAATTAGCCAGGCATGGTGGTACATGACTGTAGTCCCAGCTACTCGGGAGGCTGAGGCAGGAAGATCGCTTGAGCCCAGGAGTTTGAGGTTGCTGTGAGCTAGGCTGACGCCACGGCTCTCTAGCGCAGGCAACAGAGTGAGACTCTGTCTCAAAAAAAACAAAACAAAACAAACAAACAAACAAACAAAAACAAAAGAAATGAAACATGTTGTATTACTAGACAAGAACTTTAAGTTAAATGATCTCTTATATTACGCTCAAGAATTTGAAGTAGAGGATGGACACAATATGAGTGAACAAAAAGAAAAATTTCAGCAGGGAAACTATTTATAAGAAAGGACCAAGTGAAATTTTAGAGCTAAAAATTAACATATTTGCAAAGAGAAATTTGGACACTGCAGAAGAAAAGACCAATGAACATGAAGACAAGGCAATAGAAGCTATCCAAAATGAGGCAGGCATATGGGGAGTGGGGCTGGGGGTGGGAAAGACCAGAAAAAACCCAGAGCTCAGAGATATGAGGGACAATGTGAACCAGTCTAACATATCCAGTTGAGGTCCCAAAAGAAGAAGAAGAGACAGATTGGGGCAGGAAAATATATTTGAAGAAATAGTGGAGAAAAACGTTTGAAACTGGAGGAAAACCATAGACCCATAGATGCAACAAGCCCAATGAAACTCGAGCAGGATAAATAGAAAGAAAACCATCAGGGTTCATCATATTCAAATGGTTAAAAATGGTTGAAGAGAAAATTTTCTGCCAGACAAAAAGGCACAATTATATATAGGATAACAAACATTAAATAAAAAGAAAAGAAAAACTAAACAAAACAAAATGAAACAAAACCACTGCTGAGTATCAGCAACAAGGTAAGTCAAAATTGATAGAATGGCATCTTTGAAATGTTGAAAAAAAAAACCCTGTCAATTTAGAATTCCATAGCCTGCAAGAACATCCCTTAAGAATAAAACAAAAATAAATATATTTTCATATAAACAGAAGCTGAAATCATTAATAACCAGCAGACTTGAACTACTAGAAATGTTAAGTGAAGTTCTCTGAACTGAAAAGGAATGATATCATATAGAAACAGATTTACATGAAGGAATGAAGAATGCCAGAAATGGTAACTATATGGGAAAATGTAAAAGATATGAAAACTAGAGAGAGAATCAATTCATAATAAGAAAAGATTCTTCAGGAAGACAGAGTGACTCGAAACGCAAGTGCCCTATCAACTGAGACTCGTTAAAAAAAATCCATTTTGACAGAACTAAATGAAAGAACTAAAGAGAGTAACAGACAGATCAACAAACATTGTTGGAGAGTTAACCTTCCTTTCTGAGTAACTGATAAAACAAATAGGTAATCCAGTAAGGATGTAGAACACTTGAACAATGTCAAGGACCAAGTTAACCCAATTGACATTTACAGAAAACTATATAGGAAATGTGCATTTTTTTCAAATGCACTTGGAACATACACCAAACAAGTTTTAATAAATTAAGAAAATTTAAATCATATAGTGTATGTTCTCTAGCCTTAACAGAATTAAATTAGAAATCCATAATAATAAGGTATCAAGAAAATCGTCAAATATTTTAAAGCGGCACACTTCTAATAATCCATAGATCAAAGAGGAAACCACAAGGGAACTTTGAAAATATTTCAAATTAATGAAAATCAAGGCAAAACATATCAAAGTTAGTGTATGCAAGTAAAGTCGTGCTTAAAGGGAAATTTATAGCTTTAAATGCTTACATTAGCAAAGAAGAAAGGCCTAAAATCAATCATCTAAGTGTCTACCTTAAGAATCTAGAAAAAGAAGAAGTCAAACTCAAAATAAAAAGAAGGAAATTAAAAAAACAAGAACAGAAAACAATTAACTATCAGATGAAATTGAGAAAATCAATGAAATAAAAAGTTGGCTATTTAAAAAGATCAATAAAATTGATCTCTCTCTCTCTCAACTGTATCCAGAAGAAATAAAGAAATGGTCACAACTCAATAATGAAAAGACAACCCAATAAAAGTGGTCAGAATACTGAAAAGACACATTACAAAAAGAAGATGTTCAGATAGTCAATAAAAACATGAAGTGCTCACCATTTTCAAACCAACGTGAGATACCACTCCTACACGCCGCCACAACGGCGAAAAGGAAACAGACAACACAAAATGTAGGCAAGGCGTGGAGCAACTGCATACCTCGTATACTGATGGTAAGAATGCAAAATAACACAATCACAATGGGAAAGGTTTGGCAGTTTCTCATAAAGCTAAAAGTATATTTACCACATGACTCAGCAATAGGCTCCCAGGCATTGACCCAGGAGAAATGAAATCACATCCATCCAAAGACTTATATAAAGTGTTCATAGAAACTTTGTTAAGAATTTCCCTGTATCAGAAACAACCTAGATGCCCATCAGCAGGAGACTGGCTGAAGTGGAGTGCACCAACACTGTGCACTAATCAACAAAAAAGAACCAACGCTCATACATGCAGAAACATGGATGGATCTCAAAATGATCATGTTGAGAGAATGAAGGCAGATAGAGAAGACTCCATAATGTATGACTCCATTATATGAAAGTGAAAACAATGATTTGTATGGCCTGGTACAGTATCCACTGCAGCAGCATGTTTTGAACTCACTCTACACGCGGTCTCTTCCACTTCATAATACATCTTGGTCGCTGGTCCCTGCGAGCATGTTTCGATCTGCCTCTTACATCTCTATCAGTGGCATGGCATTCCACTAGGTGGAAGGAGTATAAATTATTTATCCAGCCTGCTGTTGGAAGTCACAGATTGTTTCCAATCTTTTGTTCTCACTCCTCCACAGTGAAACACTCCTTGTAGCTATGTCTTGTGCATGTGGACAAGTCTATCCAGCTGGAGCACAAACTCCTAGAATGGATGGCTAAGGTCAAAGGAATGCACTGACTTTTTCCTTGGGAAGCCAGAACACAGCCCCAAGCTATCCAAGGAGCAAGGGTTCTCCAGGGCCATCTCAAGCCACAGCCAAGGAAGGGCCCTGAGTCCAGAACTGCCAGTACAGACAGGAATTAGGAATCACTGCCAGCCACCAAGATGGTGCTCGCAGCCAAGATGGTGCTTGCTGAGGTGGGCTGATATAATAATACCTGGGTGTGGCCACAAAAGCACCAGCTTTCAGGTGCTTCTGCCTACCTACAGGTGAGCAAGTAGGAAGTGGGATGGGATGTGCCTGGGACAGAGCTTTGTCTGGACATCAGAGGGGCCTGGGAAGAGTCACGGGTGCCCACCTCAGGGAGGAGGCAGCCAGAGACCCCAGGGAGAGCCCTTCCCACAGAGTCTCCAACCCTCCTGGGCCACACGTATGGGCAGTGGCTGTAAAAGCAGAGACCTGCTTACTGATTTCTTCCTTCTGCCAGCCTCCACACTTGTTGTTGGGTCCCTCAAACACCAGCCTTCCAGTCCACCCAACATTCCTCCTCAAGACAATCGTTCTTTATAAAAATAAAATCATGAAGACAATAGAATCATGAATTATTTATATAAAAATAAATCATGAAGACTTCAGCTTCTGGCCAAGATGGAGTAACAGGGTCCAGATTTACACTTCCACTTGGAAACCCCCCCCCCCAATTAAACAGGATGTAAGAAACAATGATTTTTTCAAGGCAGTGGATATCAGGAATCGAAGGACAGGGATTGATATGAGCCAGGAAACAAAGGATGTGAACTCTACAATTACTCCTGCTCACTTCCCTGGAGAGTTTCCAGGCCATGCTGCAGGGAGAAGGAACCTGGGCAGAGTCTGGTGGTCTTTCTGAGTTGAGAGACGACCTAAGATTCTGGGGAGACCAGATGGCTAGAGTTTGTAGGACAGAGTACTAGAGAGTAGAGAACTACACAGAGAGGGAATTCCAGAGAACTGCAGAGAGTCTCCCTCAAGTATTCAGCAAGTCTGGATCAACAAACACATGTATGTGAAGAAACTACTCAAGCATGGAGAAGGAATCGGCCGAAAGGATTAGAGGTAAAAATACCCAGCATTCACACAGGACCAAGGATAATGCCGGTTCCCACCAGCTAGGTTGGAAAACCTCATGATTAACAGGACATTGTATAGAATACAGAGAAATCTTGCCTCATTAGTAATGAATAATGTGCCCTACACTGAGCACTGCTCTGTCTCCACCTAATAAACATTAAAAGCAAGACCCCAAGTCATCAAACTTTTTCCAACTAAGTTAACTGTGTTCCAGAACTAAGCTTAATAATTGCTGTAGGGCTACAAAATTATTCAGCATCCAAGGAAAAATACACAATGACTAGCATCCAGCAAAAAATTCCCAGGCATGAAAAGAAGCAGGAATATACAACCCATCATGAGGAGAAAAATAAATAAATTGAAACTGACTCAAAAGTGTCACAGATGCTAGAATTAGCAGACAAGAATATTAAAACAGTTATTGTAACTGTATTCCATATGTTCAAAAAGTTAAGTAGAGACACAGAAGATGTGAAAAAAGACCCCAAATAAAATTTCTTCTCTAAAAAAAAAAAAAACAAGATTAGGGGACTAACACTACCTAATTAAAAGACTTGTCATAAAACTACCATAATCAAACAGTGTGGTATTGGCACAAAGATAGAAAATACATCAATGGGACAGGATTGAGTCCAGAAACCATTTCTCACAAATATATTTGGCTGACTTTGGACAATGGTCAAAGGAAATTGAGTGGAGAAAAGATAGTCTTTTCAACAAATGGTGCTGGAAAAAGTGAATACATTAGGCAAAACAAAAATTGAACTTCAATCTGAAATTTATATCCAAAATTGAACTCAAAATGGATTATTTACTGCAATTGAGACTCCAAAACTATAATCTTCTAGAATGAAACATAGGAGAAAATCTTGTGACCTCAGGCTAGGCAAAAATTTATTAGCTACAACACCAAGAGCACCATACATAAAATAACAAATTGATAACTTCAACTTCATCAAAATTAAAAGCTTTTGCTTTGCAATAGACACTATTAATAGATGACGGAATAGAAGCCCCAGACTGGGAGAAAACCTTTGCAAAGAATCTCTCACAATCAATAGTAAGAAAAAATCCAACTTAAAATGGACAAAGTCTTTGAACAAGAGTTTCACTAATGAATATATATGGATGGCAAATAGGCACATGAAAAGATGCTCCAAAATCATTAAGTCATCAGGAAATGCAAATTAAAAACACAATGAGATACTGCTACATATCTATTAGAATGGCTAAAATGAAAGAGACTGACCATTGTTGTTAAGAATGTGAAGAAACTAGAACTGTTGGGAATATAACATGGTACAAACACTTAGAGAAACAATTTGACAGTTTATTAAGAAGTTATAGTGGGATGTCAGTGTGTGGATCTTTGCAGATCCACTCCCAGTGAAAAAAGCAAAACTGAGCTGAGCACGATGGTTTGTGCCTGTAGTCCCATCTAATTGGTTGTGATCAATTAGTTGTAAACACCACTGCACTCAGACCAACCCATCCCATCTAATTGGGAGGCTGAGACAATAGGATGGTTTGAGCCCAGGAGTTTGGGCTGTAGCATGCTACGATCATGTCTGTGAATAGCCACTGCACTCCAGCCTGGGCCATATAGTCAGACCACATCGGAAAAAAAAAAGTCAAGAGCTGGCAATAGCTATTTATAAAACAACAACAATTATTTAAAGTCTCTGGATATTGTCCTAAGATATACAACAAATGAAGAAATATTTATTCAGTAAAATATACTAAAACTCAGTAAGAACACCAAGAATCTGTGGCATTTGAGCCATGGCCCAGTCCCTCTTTCGCTGCCTGTTTGGCTTGACAGACGGAAGCTCCGCTCCGGGTGAGTGTGGTCAAAAAGATGGTGCGTCTTCTCCCTTTAGTGCCCGATTAGGGTTTCAGTGCCTCGCTGAGAGGGGCAGGCCACCAGCATTTCTAATCCACTCCAATTCCAACTTGAAGAGTTCCTGGTGATTGTGGCTGAGAGGTCAGGCTCTTCCTTCCTCCACTACTCCACCCCCCCCAGAACAGAGGCCCCACCTCAGGCACATCAGGCCAAGAATACAGGCACCCTAACCACCCTTGCCCCAGCTTAGGGTGGAGTTTTCACACTAAAATAGGCAACCAGTGAAGACCAGAGGCTTTACAGCTCTATTCATAACCCAGAGACTGTCCTTGGGGAGAGAAACCCATAGTAAAAGAGAGTTCCAAATTCTCCACAAAGGAACTAACATTATTTGAAAAAGAATGTGAAAAAGTTGAAGCCTAAGGGTGCTCTCAAAAACAATAGCTCCTCTTAATTAAGAGAAACAAGCTAAACCGTAGGCCATCCAGTTCACCAGAGAGAACCAGGGAAAGAGATAGCTGAGCAGATTTCTGGTTACAGAACAAACCTCAAAGACTGACCTTAAAATTGCCCCTCTTCAAATTTAATTAGATTAGACTGCTCAGAAATTAATGTTCCAGGGCATTGTCAGCAACAATAGAGCAATTGGTTGGTAATCAGTGGAGCCTAAAGGATGGAGAGTAACACCAAATGAAACAGGCAGCTTAACAGAGAGATCAGGAAAAGAGAGTCAAGAGAGCCCTGCTACAATCACATGTCATCCCAGGGCAACTGTATGCATGTCCAAGGCTGGACCTTTGAGGGGTGACACAAAAAACTTCATGCTATGGAAGAAACGGACATCAGTAAAATAGTCTAGCCAACTCATAAAACAGATAAACAAGCACACATAAAATTAAGCCTAAAAGATGGGGAAGGACAATCAGTATCCAAAGTTGCTACAATATATTACCTAAAATGTTCTAGTTTCAAACAAAAAAGTTACAATGCATGTAAAGAAACAGGGATGTGTAACCCGTACATAGGAAAAAAAGGAGTAGGCAACAGAAACTGCCTGTGAGAAATTCTAGATGTCATACGGAACAAAGACTACAAAGTGTGCTTTAGAAATATGTTTAAAAAAACTAAAGGAAACCATGCTTAAAGAAGTTAAGGGAGACAGTGCTTCATTAAACAGAGAATAGCAATAGAGATAAGAACTGTTAAAAAGAACCAAACAAAAAATTCCGTAGTTTAAAAGTACAATAAGTTGGGCATGGTTGTGCAAGCCTATAATCCCAGCTACTCAGGAGGCTGAGGTGGGAGGATTACTTGAGCCCAGAAGTTTCAGACGAGCCTGGCCAACATAGTCAGACTTTGTCTCCAAAAAAGGGACAACAAATGAAACATTCACCAGAGGGGTTCAACAGTAGATTTTAACTGGCAAAAAATATATATATAAATAAATAAATAAATAAATAATCAAACTTAAAGATAGATTAATAGAAACAGTGCAATCTGAAGGACAGAGTAAAAATAGAGTGAAGAAAAATGAAAAAATGAACAGAGCCTCAAAGAAATGTTGGACACCTTTAAGCACACAAACATACATATAATGGAAATACTGGGAGGAGAGAAGAGAAGAGTGGAAATAATAGTAGAAGGAATATGGCTTAAAACTTTCAATTGCTGAAAAACATTAATCAGTGTATCTATGAAGCTCAACAAAGCCAAATTAGGATAAATAAAAAGAGATAGACACCCAGAAACATGATAATTAAAATGCTGAAGGACAAAGACAAAGAAAAAATCTTGACAGCAACAAATGACTTATCACATACCAGGGAACCACAGTAAGATTAACAGCTGACTTCTCCTCAAAAACAATAGAGATACCCAAAACCACTATGCCATGGTAAAAAATAAATTAAATTAAATTAAAAACAGCAAGAACAACAACAAAACCCAATAGAGGCCAGAAGGCAGTGGCATGACATATCTAAAGTGCTCAAAGAAAAATATTGTTCACCAGGAATCTTATATCCAGCAAATATTTCTTTCAAAAATGAAGGTAAAATAAAACCATTTGCAGATAAACAAAACCTGAGAGAATTTGTTGTTATCAGAGCCACCTTATAAGAGATATTAAAGGAAGTCATTTAGGCTGAAAGCAAGTAACCCCAGATGAAAATTTGAGTGGAAATTTGGGAAAAAAA